AAAACGCTAAAATGAAAATATGTTCCTTTTATCGAGATCTTCCAATCCGGAAAATGTTTGCACTTATTTCTGACTCACCCTGTATAAGAGGAGGCCATTTTTTTCGATCATACAAAAAATGCTGTTTTTAAATACGTTTTTGAATTTTTTTTTTAATATATCATCCCAGTACCACGAAGGAAAAACGACATAGGTACCATATTTTAAAAATTCATCCCAAAAACATACCAAATTTAAAGGTACTGACCGGGTACTGGTCAGAGAATATGTTTATAAATATACCTAAAGTAGTTTGGTTGTGAATCAGTCTGTATTCAAAAACAAAACATTCAGCAATACAAAAACGTATTGGCAAATATTATTGCAATCTTGCACATACTATACATTTAAAATATTATTAAATATTTATACAGGCTGTTCCTTAATAACCCTAATTTTTAAAGAGGTGATCCTATATATTGGATTAATTTTATGAAAAAAAAAAGAGATACAGAGTGGTCAGATTTTCAGGAAATAAGCTTTTGATAATATTTGTTATGCTATTCTAGATCTATTTATAAAATATGGTACACCTAGCAGGGAAGTCAATATTTGGACAGTTCAAATTTGCATTGGATTTCCTATGTTTCCAACGATGAAGCACCACCCAGTAGATATGAAACAGTGCTTTTTAGGGTTCCGTACCCAAAGGGTAAAAATGGAAACCCTATTACTAAGACTTCGCTGTCCGTCCGTCCGTCCGTCACAAAGGTCTATCTTATGTGACCCGTTATAGCTAGACAGTTGAAATTTTTACAGATAATGTATCTATGTTGCCGCTATAAGAACAAATACTAAAAACAGAATTTTTTTTAGAAATTTATAAATTAAAAGTACTTTCACTAAACATTATCTTTTAAGTAAGAATTTTACATATATATAATCTTTCAAGCCTTCGGTGGCCGCGTGGTTAACGCGTTAGAACTTTACGCTGCTATGACGTTGGAGTCGTAGTAAGGCAGGTACGAATCCTAGTCAAGACGACTTTTTTTAATCGTTTTTTTTAAATTTTTACATATTTTTACTTTTTACATATTTATTATTGATTAATACACTTTTTAGTTAATGTGTTTCTTCGTTTTTTTTTAATTACTTATACGCGCATTCAAAATTTCAGCTAAATCGGAAAAAAAGTGTATGATAATATAGTGTCTAATGTTGTATAGATAACGAATGGTACGGAACCCTTCGTGCGCGAGTCCGACTTGCACTTGGCCAATTTTTTAGTATATCTTTAATGACTTGAAGGTAGTACGCCTTTATCTCTAAGACACTGATTTTTTTAGACCGACAAATACAAGAACGCTTAAAGAAGAAAAAACGCCGACCAGACCCAGATTTTCGTAAAAAAAACAACGGGCCTGTCGGTACTGCCGTTAAACGCGGCAAATCGGGGCTAAGGCCCCAACTGGACGACGGGCCCAAGTACCGTGACCCCATTTTAGTACACGCGCGATATGTTTAGCGCTAAAGGCACGTACACACGTCTATAGGTTTTGCCTTGCCGTTTTTTTTCTGCGCTATTTCGAGGTCGCGTACGTATTTTCGATAATGGTACTATCTACAGGGTGGTTCAGGTAGTACCGAAGTAACTTTTGAATTTTGAAAAAAACTGGTATTTCAATTATTTTGAAAGAAATTATTCCCTAAAATTTTTCCAATAAAAAAAAATCTTAGAAAATATATAACGTATAGTACGTATTTTTCTAAATTAAAATTTATTTTTCATCGTCTTTTTAACATCTCGTCACGCAATGATATGGTACTACTTGGCCGATGCGAATAATGCCTGCGATGTCGGGAAAATTAGTACTTTGTCACTCTGACGTCACATTATTTATGGTTAGTTGTATAATTATGTAATAAAAGATTCATAAGCAAACAAAAACAAAAATGTTCGAGACGTGCATTTTTGAAAAATTGATTAACAATACCAACAATTTAATAATAATAATACACTGGCACTAGAGTTATACATGACAAGCTCTTGTTATAAATTTATAGTATCTTCTTCAATAGTACGATAAATAATGTAAAAACGAGTAAAGTACTTTAATTAATATACAGAAGAATTTAAATACAAGGTGAATCAGAAATAAGTACAAAAAAAGTTGAAAATCGCGCAATTTTCTTTTAAATTTTCCTGTATATTTTAGAAAACTTTTTAGCCTGTTCTAACCTGTTCACCGGAAATTTTCCCACGATGTAATTTCTTAACCTCTGATACTACCATGGTTACGGCATTACTCTATGGTTACGTCACTAAAAGGGATGCAAATACAGAAAAAATCCGGTGGCTCTCAATTTTTTTAAAAAATAAATATATTTTTGCCCGGTGGCGTAGGTACAGGCTCTCGTCTACCAATCTCAAGGTTGTGGATTCGAATCCTACACCCTGCATTTCATCAGCCGACTATTTTTAATAAAATAAAAACTGTTTGGGTACCTAGGTCGACTCAAGCCTTAAATGAGTACTTGGGATTCACAATCCTGAGGTAATAATAGGCGGTTGAAGCGTAGAGTGTAGAGTGCTAGCCACATTACCTTCCTTGTATACCGAACGGCTCTAGCAATGGCAAGCTGTACCTTGCTACTCCCAAGGCGTTAAACGCTATATACGGGAGCTATTATTATTTTTATAAATATATATTTTTTTAATTTTCAAATTTGTATAACTCGGTTATTTTGGACTCATTTGAAAAATGGCAAAGAGAAAATATGTTTCTTTTATCGAGATTTACCAGCCTTGAAAATATTTGCACTTATTTAAAACTAACCCTGTATATCTCTTCTAGTTTTCGAGATCCTATTGATGAGGCTAGAATTTGGGACACCCTGTAGATCGTGACAATTTGAAAAGTTAAAAAAATATGGTTTATACAATAACACGGTGACACAATATGATCGACAAAAACACGGCGTCAGCGATGGTTAAGAAATGAAGATCGCTGTCATTTTATATGTAAAATTATATGGGGAATGTCATCGATGTTTAGTTCCAAGCCAACTGGGATTTTTTCGATCATGCGGTATATAATTAAAGCTTAGCTAAAAATTCTCTAATTTACTTTTTAATGAATGTTCTATCTCTAAAAAGAAAATTGTATACAGGGTGAGTCTTAAATCAGTGCAAATATTTTTAGGGGTACTATATTTCGGCCCCAGAAACACGATTATATGAGTTCTTTTCGAGTAAAAAAAAATTGGAAAATTTAAATTTTTGAAAAAATTTTAGGAATTTTTTTTAGTTTTTAGTTAAAAAACATAATAATATGTTGATAATATGGCAACATAGGTAGTAGATTAAATTTACAAGAAAGAAAATCCAAAAAAGGGTCCAGTGGTTCTTAAAATTTTAGCAAGAAATATTTTCTTCCCGAAATTTTCAAAGTAAAATAACTCGGTTATTTTGGATTTATTTGACAAAATCTGAAAATATTTGCACTTATTTAAGACTCACCCTGTATAGCCATTTAATAGTGAAAAAAAAATTATCCAATTTTTTTTAATATAAATTCAATAATTATTTCGGCAATCAACCATTTGGAACCAAAATGATTCAAATATTATGCAGTTCCGTAAACGAATGTTTATAATTAATTATTCTTTTTATTAGATACAAATTGCAAATCTACCAATTCCCAGTAGAATTAAAATTCAATCTTAGATTTACATTTGCAATAATTGCATACTCTGAATATGACGACGTATTAAATCAGAAGTATACAATAACACGGTGACACAATATGATCGACAAAAACACGTCAGGCGATGGTTAAGAAATGAAGATCGCTGTCATTTTATATGTAAAATTATATGGGGAATGTCATCGATGTTTAGTTCCAAGCCAACTGGATTTTTTCGATCATGCGGTATATAATTAAAGCTTAGCTAAAAATTCTCTAATTTACTTTTTAATGAATGTTCTATCTCCAAAAATAAAAATGTATACAGGGTGAGTCTTAAATCAGTGCAAATATTTTTAGGGGTACTATATTTCTGCAAGTACAATAACTCGGTTATTTTGAATTTATCTGACAAAATCTGAAAATATTTGCACTTATTTAAGACTCACCCTGTATAGCCATTTAATAGTGAAAAAAATGTTATCCAATTTTTTTAAAAATAAATTCAATAATTATTTCGGCAATCAACCATTTGGAACCAAAATGATTCAAATATTATGCAGTTCTGTAAACGAATGTTTATAATTAATTATTCTTTTTATTAGATACAAATTGCAAATCTACCAATTCCCAGTAGAATTAAAATTCAATCTTAAATTTACATTGCAATAATTGCATACTCTGAATATGATGACGTATTAAATCAGAAGCATTTCTCTAAATGTATAAATTAAAATATTTAATTTACTCATTCGACCTTGATTGTATTCATTCGTATTTGATAACGGCAATTCTGATAATAAGTACGTTGATCCAAAACAAATCAATTACATTTTAGAGAAATTTCTTCGAGTATCTTAGATGGTTGAATGATGCCCATACCAGGATACGGATAGAGTATTCCAGGCTCTTGCCTGCCGCTTTAAGTTGGTTTCCACTTGATAAGTAAAGCGGTTCTGGTCCAGTTAGTGGAGTGTTTGCTGTTTGCTCCTTTTCTAGCTAAATTGCTTGCTTTTTCATTACCTTCTATCCCTTACTGGGTTTACATCCATGTAGAGTAGGAGGGCTTGATTTTCTTTGTCTAATTTGTTCAGCTTCTTTCAGATATTCTTTGACCCACTTTTAACGCTCCCTTATTATCAGATAAGATGGCTATTTCTTGTTTCCGATAATTCTAACTGACCATATTTCTTTGAATCAGTTAAAGAAATGTAACATATTTCTTTAAACCCAAAAGATACAGTTTCAAGACACTCTGTATACATAATGTATAAGAAATTAGTTAAGTGAGTTGTTGTGCCAACATTATATTATATCATTACTTCTTTTTTCCAGAGGAACTGTGCCAGTGCCCTCACAAATGCGACGACCTGGTACCGATGGAGGCGCGCACCGACCTCTTCAACCATTTCTACGGCTTGGGCGAGGCCGACGGCCAGAACCTGTTCCTCAGGATGCACATGGACCTTAGGGCGCGCACGAACGTACCTGAAACGACCGGGAGCGGCAGGCCGCCTCGGAGGATCACCTGCAAGTACCTAGTACCCATATTAAACGAAGGTCAGTACAAACATTTTGAAAAATAGTAAGGGTAGCCACATAACGTACATTTTTTACGCAAAGGCAAAACGGCGAAGTCGAAGCTGTGAGGATTTTTTTAAAATTATCCCCACACACAAGAGTCTGTCTAAGGAGAAAATACATGACAATGACAGTTATTATCTGTCATTATAATTCAGATAAATGGTATTTTATGTAATTTTTGGATGTCATCTGTCGAAATATTTCGCAACTCAGACGTGGACAGACTTTACCGGCGATGATACTTTGGTGGTAATTGGTTGGCCTCAATTGTATACGTCATCGGCTGAGTTTGCGTCCAGACTTCAAAGACTTGTTTATTTTATTATTTTTTCTGCAGCAAACTTCTCAGGCTATTTATTTTTTGAATGACAGTATCATTTGTAGTAGCATCGTTGTTTTTGCTAGTTGTCCAGTTTGTAGCATGTGGTTCATTCTCTTTCAGCTTTTCTGTTGATCTTGCGTTATCTGGCATCTTTTTACTCCTGTCATAGCATTGCTTACACTTTGTTTGCCAAAGACAAGGCTGACTCACATATATTTTAATGAAGTATTTCACAAACTGACGGTTTATATTTGAAAATAATCGTGGTGTCCAGTGGAGAACATAAATGTTGATGAATATCTGAAAGAAAGCGACTGCGCAGTCCAAACCCTGAGGAAAATTGAATGTGTGTGGCTAGTTTGAACAGGGCGGATTATCGTTAACAGGAGGATACCCTATTGCATTTTGTTTTAAATTTTACGTGTGATAGTACCATACGATCGAAAAAAAACGGCGTCAAAGACGGCTGGGGAGTGAAGGTGAAGCCCTAGATGTTATTTACTTCGACCCGTAACTATTCTTTATTTTTTAATGGCTCTTACAGTTGGGAAGCTTGTAATTTATTTTATATTGAATAAAGCTCTAGTTCCATGCACTTGCACTTGCGAATTGCGATTTACGAATTGCGAAATGCGTTCTGTTTGCCTTGCAATTGGTCGCTTTCAAGGGTCCCTTGAAGGCGATCAATCAGAACGCTAACAGACCACACATTTCGCAATTTATAAATCGTAATTCGCAAGTGCATGAACTTAAGAATGATTTTAAATGGCGTAGTTTAAAAATAAGAGAAAAAATATTTTTTGGGAAATATATATTTGTGTCTGAAAACGTTCTATCCTATTCTTTTTTGATTTTTCTACAATTTAGACAAGACTGTTAATTTTAGACAAGTTTTATGTCAATTTTAGTAAATGACGTCTAGAGATTGATCTCGCCATAATTATCGTCGATTGTCATACCCCAGCCATCTTTGACGCTGTTTTTTTATCGTATGGTATCTTTATGTATTTCATATTTGTTTTTTATTGTTTGGGATAAAATAAATCCTATATTTTGAAGTTACCTAACAGAAAATAAACGGATTTATCAATATCTGGGGATTCACTGCACCAGAAATTTCGAAAATCTAATCAATACGGATATGTATTCTATTTTCGATGCAATTCTCAAAAACTGTATTTGCGAAAATTTGAAAAACTAGTCACTACTTTCTATAAAACACGGTGTATTTATTTTGGAAATATTCACTCCAGGATCGCTTGTTTGCCACATTTGAAATTTTCAATTGGCGTAAATATAATAGGGAAAACGTCTACATAACTTGTAGCAAACTAAGTTATAATTGGAATATCGAGATGTAATGTGTTAGTCATAAAACAGCTGGTCGTATAAAGTTATATTTTTATTAAATGGTTGGCTGAAACAATTCTAGAATCGTTGATACTGAGTAAAAAAACTAAAATCTTCAGAACGCTGCTATAAACGGAATCAAAAATCCTTGTTTTCAATACCCCTATTCTTCAATGAACGGGATGCGTAAAACTTTGTATTAAAATATTGTTATTCCTTCTAATCTTTCTGAGTTCTGAGACACATCATATATGAAACTGTAGCTATAAAATAATGCACGCTAGAGGATCTCGTAAACCAGAAAACGACTGAACTCTGATTTTTAAAACGAAATTGATTTTTAGAGATTTTAAAACAATTGGGTAAAATATACAGTGCGAGTCTCTAAAATGGAATAAATTAATTATATCTCAAATGTATCACCAGTATCACTCTTTGAAAAAGATAGCTGCGAGAGCGCTGAAGTCATGGTTACTAAATCCCGCTTAAGATGGGCTGGCCACATATGCAGGATGCTAGAAAACTGCCTACCGAAATATCTTCTTTCGGTGAGCTTGTATCAGACTGTAAGAGGAAATCGGGTTGGGCAATTCAAAATATACAGGGTGGCGCCTCTCATACGCCGCGGGGAAGCTCCAAGGAGAACGGTGCTTTATATCGAAATGAAATTTTGGCAGCATATGTAGGTAAACTGAAAGCATTTTTTAAAAATATATAGAATTATACAGGATGTCTCCGAAAAAAGTTACACATCAAAGTTGTGTTTTTCTAATGGAACACCCTATATTAATTAATTTTCGGATTCTAGGAAAAAATAAAGGTGAGTAAAAAAACTAAAGGAGCATATACCTAAAATATGAGGATTTTCACATACTTCACATTTTGTAAAAATGAAGAGTAAATTTTAAATATCGATAACAGCTACCTAAATTTTAGTTGACTTTGTATAGCCTGATATTTAATTACAGTAGCCATTGTATGTTAAACCAAATTGAAATTTGACCCGAAAAGTTATACAGGGGTGAGACAAAATTAATATGGAACATTAGTCACTTTTAAAAGCAAGTTACTCCTTTAATTGAAATGGAACACCCAGTATATTTTCCGCTGTTCAATGGGAATTTATATATCTTCAAAATATTATTAAGGTTGCCTACCCCTCAGACAAAGATTTTCCTAGATATTTTAATTTTTATGATTTTACGTCAGTAGATCTTAATTGTTTGAAAAAAATCTAGGGTGACTGTGTGATATACCTTTTGTTAATTTAACAAAAATTAAAGATTGTATAGTAAAATACTCAACGGTAATAAAAGATACACGTTTTAACATATTTTAATTATTACAGAATTAAAACTAGATATAAACCTATAACTATGTGAAAAAAATTAGCTAGATGAGATCAAATGCTCAAAATGCTTCCTTTCCTGTTAACTGCATAAAATTCGTCTGCGTAAGGATCTTTTCATTTTAAAAGGCATTTTATATGGAGTTCTACCTCGAAAAGCATCAGCTACAATAATTTCTCTGATGTTGTCGACAATAGTTGGTGAAGTTTTGTAAACACTGTCTTTAACATATCCCCATAAAAAAAACCAGACTAGATAAAATCAGGAGCATTTAAGTATTCTATTAATTTGTGAATGCACACTGCATTCACCAACTAATAGAATCATATCAATTCTCTCTGATGTAGGATAAGTTTGCATTTTCGGCAAATTTCTGAGAATTTTTTTTTGTTTTCACTGACACAAAATGATAACTAGTTGTTAAAGTTGGACTAATTAGACAGCTATGTTGAAGTAACGTCAGACATATCACAGCCACCTAGATTTTATCAAATAATAAAGATCTACTCAGATCAAATCATGTAAATGAAAATATCTAGGAAAATCTTTGTTTGAGGGGTAGGCAACCTTAATAGTATTTTGAAGAGACATGAATTCTCCATTGAATATTGGAATAATATACTGGGTGTTCCATTTAAAATAAAAAAGTAACACGCTTTTAAAGGTGGCCAATGTTCAATAATAATTTTGTCTCACCCTGTATAACTTTTTGGATCAAGTTTTAATTTGATTTAAAGTACAATAGCTATTTTAACTACATATTAGGTTATACCGGGTAAATTCCAATTTAGGTAGCTTTTATTGTAATTTAAAAATTGTTCTTTATTTCTAGAAAATGTTAAATACCTATGTCAAAAACCTTACATTTTAGTCATATACTTCTCTTATAAAACTCACCTTTATTTTTCTCCCAGAACCCGAAAATCAATTAATATATAGGGTGTTCCATTACAAAATACACAACTTTGATATGTAAGTTTTTTGGGGACACCCTGTAGAACTCTGTATATTTTTAAAAAGTGCTCTGAATTAACCTACATATGCTCACAAAATTTCATTTCAATACAGACTGTCGTTCTCCTTGGAGCCTCCGCGGCGTATGAGAGGCGCCACCCTGTATAAGGATATTTTCCATGAAAACTTAAAGGGCATAAGCATGCAGAATCAGTGGGAGGAAGCAGTGCACAAGAGAACGCAATGGAGAAGGATTTATGCGAAAATGATAAACTCAATATTGTGTTGAACGTTGAGACTATACAGTTTTGTGAGCAAATGATGCATTTACTTGAAAATATTACATTAACCTGGTAAATCTACAGAACTATCGTTATTGGGCAGACGAAAACGCACACTGAATGAGAGAGTTTCTTCACTACTAATACTCAATGGCCAGGGAAAGTCTTCAACGTTTGGGCGTCTCAGCCTGAATATCTGTTGGTAATTTACTTATTTCGTTTTGAGCCACTTCTGGCTCCAATTCAATCAGCAATCGACACGAAAGAGAATTAAAAAATATTGGCTCAAAACTGACACGTAAAGAGACAGTTTTATTTATTTGTCAAATTACATAAAAACCAACGCCAACCCAGCACAATATTTTTTCTACTCGTAATAAATTCCTTGAAATAATAATTTCTGAATATTTTTTAAAGCTAACTCGCTATGGAAAAAAATATTGTTTTATACACGACGATAAAATTGTATTATCGTCTCCCGAAATTAATTAATTAATCTTTTCGGTCCACGATAAAATACCATTTTATCGTCTTGTATAAAAAATAACTAAAAGATTACTTAAATTGCGACATAGTCTTTTTTACAGTGTACCTAAACGAAATTTTTTTTCCATCATTTTCAGGCAGAACTGTGGAAGTGTGTCAGAAAGCTTTCGTCAGCGCCTTCGTCATAACCACGAAGCGGGTGAGATTGCAAAGGGAAAAACTGATCGCCAGCCTGGGACTGAACAGTTACCGCAGCCACAACAGGAGCAAGAAAGAAAAGGATGATAAAAGCATCGCGATGATGGCCAAAGCAGCCGCCGCCGCATCGGACACTTCCATCGACAACAACAACGACAGCCTCACTCTCAACAACAACACCATAACGTTGAACACCTTGAAATCGAAATTCCACTTGCCTTCGAACCTCAGCGTCATCATGCCAAGGTAAAATAGCGGTGTGTGTACACAGAGAGAAATAGTATTATTTACTTTTTTTATAAACAATTTTTGATTCAAACGTCACAGAAGTATTTCTTTGGAATGTCAATTCAACTTTTTATGAAAATAGAGAAGCTAGATGCAATACGAGAAGTTATAATGGGATTAGATGTGCCTAATTTAACTGAAGCTGATATAAAAATGAAAAGCATAGTCAGGACTATGTACAGGGTGTCCCATTTCGGTTGAAATCAGACCGTATCTCCGTTATTAGTGAAGATAGAAGGGTGCGGTTTGCACACACCTGTCCCACTTTTTTGTCAAATGGAAGATGCCGTAAACAAAATTTTCATAGCCCTCTTCCTTTCTAAGCTACAGAGTCTTTTTGAAAATTTTGCAATTTAGGACACCCTCTGTATCTCTGTTATTGTTAAAGGTATCGAGGAGGTGAAAACTGTCTGCTATTCTATGAAAAGAATATTTTTAAAGATATGAACTAAAGTTATGTTTTCTTAAACGGAACACCCTGTATATTTATAAATTATATGATCTGGCTTCCATAAGCTTCTCAAATATATATATATCACTCTATATTTATTTTCACTATTTACTGCAATATTTAAAAGTTTTTACTAAAAGATCATATTTATTAGTAAGCCATGATTGATATTGTTACGGATTCCGTGGGTCCACTAATTTAAACTCACGATAAAATACTTAACGAATTTATTTGTCTCACTCTGTACACACAACTTATACTATTTACAACACAATTTATGCAACTACTATTACTCTAACGGTATTTCGCGGTATTATCAAACTTCAGACTTCAGACTATCTTCAGATTGGTCCAACTGTCAAAGCGCGGGCCTTATTTACTTTCTGGGGGATTCACCAGGTTCCTCAATGCACGTTGCGGTTATGCAACCAGTAATACACCTTGACCTTAACAATATAATAAAAGAAACTAAATAATTATTAAAAGTATACTATCTGTCTCTTGTTTGATTTTGGGAGCCACTAATAAATTCTTTATATATTAGGGAAACTTTTTTCTCTCTACCGCTATTTGTAAAGTGATATACATTTTTGAGAAGCTCTTAGCAAAATGGATCATATGATTTATAAATATACAGGGTGTTCCGTTTGAAAAAAACATAACTTTAGTTGATATTCTCAAAAATATTTTTTTCGTAGAACTACGCCACTGTATTCTACGTAAAGTTCTACAAGAGTCAGTTTTTATCTTCCCGATATCATCCACAATAACGGAGATACGGAGGCTGTCCCAAATTGCAAAATTTTCGAAAAGACCCTGTAGCTCAGAAACGAAAAGGGCTATGAAAATTTTGTTTATATCATCTTTCGTTTAACAAAAAAGTGAGATAGGTTTGTGCAAACTGCATCCTCCTATCTTTATTAATAACGGAGATACCGTATGATTTCAACCAAAATATAACCAAATATAAGATTATTTGATGCTCCTATTTCTAACCAAATTTTGAACCAAAATCACCACTGTTTTTCATGATTTCCCTTTTTCCAAAATACTCGTCCCTATTTTTTAAGACCATTGTCAAATCAATTTTGTTTGAACCATCGGGATCGGAACCCATGTATTAAACTCGCTTTCAATATTTTCTTGATTAACAAAAGTTGAACAACTAAAGTCGAACCGTCTGAATGCCGCTTTAGAGAGTAAGAATAATCCCCCAGTTTTCCAAATGACATCATACTTATATTAATTTAATCTATAAATACATTATCAATTTTAGATATAGATATGCTTTAAAAATACATAAGCCTCAAATTTTATCACAATCGTAAAAGGGTGAACATTTAGCATTGTGTCATCAAAAAATTTTCATGAAATTTTTCAATTAAAATTTGTTTAAATACTGTTTTGCACTGCTGTTTTTTATATTCACTCAGATGCAAAAATAACACAACAGACAATTTTGAAGCTTAAAAAGTATAAAAGAGGATACCATAAAACGGTTCTGCATAAAGGTTCGTTTATATTTTCAGGTGCTTGTTTTACGAAATGAGCAGATTCATTTATCCGACAAAAAGGCCACTGTTTTTGTTCTTCAAGTGTACAAACCGAACGCCATTATTACAGCTCTCTAAACAATGGCGTGGCTAATGCCTCGCGCCAGCAAACCGTGCCATTTTCTAAAGAAAAACACGCCGTTTCCTTTATATTTAATCATTTGAAATGAAAATACTAAGAAAGGAGTACGTATATGAAGAAAATTAGCGAGAACATGGAGGAAGTTCTAATATGGAAGAGTTAAATTATTCCGGTTTATTTCGGTGGTGTTCTATTTTTTAGCCGACCATACCAACAGGTATGGTAGGCTATTAAGATCGGCAAAAAAAAAGTTTTTTTAATTTCACTCAAAATGAGTTATTTGGGTCATAAATGACCTAAATACATAATATTTTTATGGTGTCTGTCTGTCTGTCCGTTTGTAACACGATAACTCAAAAATCGCACAAAAATACTGTGGCACCCCAGAATCTGGCCATTAGTTTTTGGTGGGGGTGGGGGGTTGGTAAGGGGGTATGGGAGGGGGTTAACATTTTTAAAAAATCGTAACTCCAAAATTACAGTAGCTAGCGAAACGCGGTTTTCAATTTAAGATTAGGAATAATAGTTGCAACACAATTTGTAATAACATCAAAATCAGTCAAAGTCGCAGTTTTTGAGATAAAAAAAAATTGGAAAAATTCCTTTACTTTGAAACTAAAAGAACTGCCTACCAACTTTTTATTAGCATATTTTAGTATGGGCGGCTATACGTGCCTCCCGACGCCAATTTCTTTTTATTGAGTTGGATAATTCTTTTTCTGACATTATATGTACATCGATACTAGTTTTGTACCTTTTGGTAACATTTTAATACTTTTTTTTTCGTAATTAATTAGTATGATACCACCGCATACACCATAGGCGTAGTCAAAACATTTATCAAAAATATAAATATCTCTTCAAGCGGCTATGTTAAGAAAAATATGTACCACGGCACTGTTTGGTGGTATGGTAACAATTTGGTTGCAGGTGTTATTCGTCCTTGTATTCTTTAGTCATTGGATAGCATTATATTCCTTCCTTATTATAATCTTTTTATTCAAATATCTAAACGTTTCAATTTTTCTTGTAGCGACTTTCGACCAAAACCCCAGATCAATGCCACCAACTATTACCACAAATAATAACAACAACAACAATGTTACCAACTACGGCCACAGTAAGTCGGTTCTGGAATCGAACTCGGCGAAAAAACTGGCCAGCATCCTGGGTAAGAAGTCCTTGGAGGAGCTAAAGGAGTTAAACATTTCCTTGGAGAAGGACTCTAGCACGGATTCCGATAGAGACGATGGATTCCTCAGGGCTCCTCCTCTTAAGAAGGCGCGGTTTGTCAAAAGACAACGAAACAACAATATGATGGTGAGTATTAACCTTCATCTATCACAAAAGGCTTCTTGATTAAAAATTAGTGAAGTCTAAAATACGGTATTCAAAAGTTGGCATGCGATATGCCATTCTATTCGTTTTCTATCGAATAAAGTAAAAAAATACCGAGGGTGCTATTTGAAAATCAATATTTATAGTCATTTCCGGTGAAACAGGAAGTGACCGAAAACAATTGAATACGGAATCGATAATCCTAATTTATGCCATACACTAACATACCAAATCTTGTTTTTTTTATTTGAAAAAATAAAAAAATTATAGGGGTGAACTACTTTTGAGAAACACCCGGTTTAAGTATACAAACATAAAAATTCCACAAATAATTTAAAATTTGCAGTATGCAGGATGGTTCCCAACTGTATTCCGAAAACTTCGACAGCATATTCTGCATATAAAAATAAGTAAAAAAGTTCATATAAATGTCGCAGTTGGTTAATGTCCCAAAATGCTTAGTTTCGGAGATACAGGGTGTAGAAGTTTCATTTGTATTTCGATTTTTTCCAAATAATTTCTGAACTAACTTCGATATTTGGATGAAAATTGGTGTGTGGGAGTTTCTTGACATGAGAAATTTCATTTTGATGTCAATATGACTCCCACTTGTAGGGGGCGCCACCTACATATGTTTTAACTTACTTGAAGAGTAATAACGTTTTGTCCGTACCTGTATAAAACTAAAGAGTAAAAAAATATTCATTTCCGTAATATTTTACGTAAAAAATATCTCTTGGTAAAAATCACTACGAGGAACCGTTTTCAAGATATTTGGAATCGAAATAGTTAATACATGTCATAATTGACAAAAATTATGCATGTTGACTGGATGGAAAAAATCATGATTTTTTTAAAAATAAAAAAAAATCAGATTTTTATTTAAAACAGATTTTTTGATTTTAATCGAAAACAATATTTAAATTGGATTTTCAAATAATTAGGACTTAATTCCAATTAAAGTCCTATCCTAAATGGCTAAATATTCATAACTCTACCCGATACATTAACAATTCTACGGCCCGTGTCATTTTCCCACATCGGTCACCAATATATTCCCCAAAAAAAGTCGCTCGCTTCAGATCAAAAGGATTTTTTTTCAAATGTCACAAGAGTATTATTTTTTGTCATTTCAACGCCTAGGCATAAAAGTAAAGCACTTTTACGCCTAAACATAAAAGTACAGAATATATTATTAAACTGATATTAAGCGTCAATTTCAACGAGTGTACAAATTGTTATTCGATTACTTTCAAAGTACTCATACTACTTCTTATATTATTTGCAACGTTTGAAATTGATTAAAAAGTGATTTGTAATGTTTGAAAAAATATTGTATATTCTACTCGGAGTAAAAATATACGTTTGTGCCTCCCTGTTTACGCTAGTCCATCAAACGTACAGCCTCGTCAAAAAAAGTATAATTTTTACTCCTTACACAATACAATACTGTTCGGAAATAGTCTTAAGTCGAGAATAAAATTAGTATTTTCTATTGTCAAAGTGTAAAATCTTGACTGCAAGACGAAATGTCGATAGAAATCAATATACCAATATATTAATATACGTAGCAAATGTAACATTTTATTTAATGAATAGATATAGGATATATCTGCTATAGAAATATTTTTTATAGTTTTCTATGACACATTTTTATAACTTTTACAGTTATTTTTCGATTTATTGTAAAGTATTGTAAAAAAGTTGATTTTTTGATTTAAATCACATGATTAAAATTAAAAAAATCACTTCATTTAAATCACGATTTAAATCACATGCCAACCCTGGTTATTAGTCTGAAATTACAAATTTGAAAGGTTTTAGTGCCAAAGATTCACCAGAAACTGTTTTATCGTTTTTTTTTCTAGAAAAATTCATGATTAGCTTAAAAAATGAAATGTTTCTCCAAATTTATCATTTCAGTTAAATAACTATCTAGTCAACATGCTTATTTTTTGTCAATAATAACAAGTATTGACTATTTCCATTACAAATATGAAATATTGAAAACGATTCCTCGTAGAGATTTTTACAGACATTTTTTACGTAAAACATTACGGAAAGGTATATTCTTTTACTCAGTAGTGTAATACAGGGACGGACAATAAGTTATTACTCTTCAAAACAGTTAAAAAAGATGTAGGTGGCGCTCCCTACAAGTAGGAGTCATATTGACATAGAAATCAAATTTCACATATTACAAAAAAAAATAGATACTAATTTTCATCCAAATATCGAATTAAGAAATCGAAATATGCTGCCGAAGTTTCCGGAATACAGTTCGGACCACCCTGTATTTTAAAATGAAGTTGTGGTAATTGAACTATTTAAAGTATATTTTATAAATGTTGAAAAAAAAAAATAAATACATGAAAGAACCTCTACTTAAAATATTTAACACACTAATTTAGTTATTTTTATGCATGTCAATGGACAGAAAGTCACTAATGCGTTTTTAACTGGCAAACTGGCCAACCAGTTAAAAATTCATTATAACATGACCCTGTAAGTCTTTCAGGGTTTTCTTTCGACCATTAATAATACTAATAAAACCACCTAATAGTAAATGTTTAAGTAAGAACATTATTTTACTATTTATAACCCCAAAAACAAAAATAAAGAAAATCTAGTTTTTCCTTTTTTGTAAAATTTTGTTCTGAAAAATACAAAACTCCACTTTTTCTTTAATAAATAAAAAGTTATTGCTATTTAACACTGAATTTATATAATATTGCTACTCAAAATTTCCTTCAAAAAAATCGTTTTTTGTTTTCATAAACAGTAAAAAAACATACCTGCTAAAAAGCTAGTTTTTTACACGTAAAAAATTAGTTTACTTCTTAGTCGCCCATCCCTAGTGGTGAATGTCTAAAATTTGTATAGTAATTCATAAACTTTGAATTATTATAATAAAATCAGACAATACCAAATTGATTAATTCTAGTTTTTTAATTTTTTGTGGACTGGAAAGTCAGTTACCGGTGGCGACTTTTCCCTCCGTTATAAGCTTAAAGCTACCTAAAATTCAACATTTGAAGTTGGTGAAACTTACAGAAGTACTTTAGGATTTTGATGATTTGTCAGTGAGTCAGTGTCGAACTTAAAGAAATTTGACAAGAGAGAATTCATAAACTACGAGGTAGTGTTATTAGACATACTGGCAATATAGCCAGCTAAAGTATGTCCTCTTGATTAGCAAAAATTAATATTCTTGCCTTATCCACAACGGTGTTACAGGGGGGAGTCAAAGGTGTCGTGAGTTGCTTTGAGGAAAGGATGGTATGGCCACAGATTAACTTACAGATGTGGCACTTATTTGACTTATTTCATCTTGCTGGTAAACGCCGCCGTGACCTCGGCCCTTTAATAGGGCTATGGCGTTGTCAGACTTCGTTTTTTAATGCATTGTTGCCTTTTGTAAAAATGTATTCCCAATTAAAATAATACTTAATCTGTGGTACAGCTTTACTGTAGCGATTCATCATACGCATGCGCTTTTTTAAATAGGATATTTAAAGATACCGAATGTATCCTTGTTTTATTTAGTTTCTCCGTCTTCCTGATACATCTGTGTTAATCTGTGGTACGACTTGTTGGCGACTCAAATTCTGATGACTTGGGAATTTTTTATTTGATCATTGCCAATATAACAATATAAAATGTAGTTAAGAAGAACACTTGTAAACACTATAACAATGACATTTAATAGTCTTTTATGTCCTCTGATGCCAAGTAATAGTCTTTTATAAACCTTATTTAATATTTGCAGGATAATCCGCTGATTCCTTTCGGCCTCATCGTGCCAGATGGCGTGACCATCGCGCCCGTGTTCGGACCGGAAAACGACAACGCCATGGCCATCGTCAACAACTTCTTCAACAACCAGCTGTGGAAGCCCGAATACATCGGCGCCTATTCGTGATAACACACAAATGTGACATCATTGGCAACGCCGCGAGGTGCCTTAAACACGTAAAACGGTAGGGGGAGGAAAGGTAGAGAGGAAAGAGATTTTTTCGGACACAAAGATCGGATTTAGTAAAATATACATACACTCAACCGAGCGATCTCAGTAGTAAAGTACAAAACAAAAAAAACATCTGTAAATATTTAAATTATCGATGTCCGTCCGTCCAGACGCTGTTGTCTGTCCTTTCCCCGCTATTATAGGTGATTTTCAAAAAAGGTCCAATCGTCTCTCAGGACATTTAAAAAAACTGTTCTACTTATTAGGTTATATATACATAATTTTTTAAATAAGAATATAAGGGAATAGAGTAGTTAGGACGAAGTACTTTACTTTAGGGGCTTTTGGATTTGATTTGAGACACGTGATATAGATAAAATTCTACACGATTTTGTTGTACCATAGCATATGACAGAAAGGCTATAAATTTCGTACTCTTAAATCATACAGGGTGTTCAAAATTCTACACCAAACTTTCTAAATTATAAAATAGTTTTTCTTTGTTTTTTTTTACATCCTGTATATTATTTTTTACTAGTTGATGCCTGGCGCATCCGCCACGACATCAGGAAAAAAAATACTTTTTATTTTTTTTAATTAAAAGAAAAACAAAAAATCCGGCGTCAGTTTTTAGAAGAGCCAATCTCAAAGCTATCTTTTAGTAAAAAAAAGCAACTTTCTAGAGCAAGTCGTTACTTCAGTAGAGACGACACAGATAAACATTAGCATTTTATATATGTAGATTAGATGGAGAATTAAAGAATGCACATTTCTTTTGTATTTAAAGTATTTCAAAGTTTTTAATGGTTTCGCAGATACACGCAGTATTATTTCATATGGCTCTTTCAATGGCAAAATATGAGAAAAAAATCATTGGGTGGCTTTGATGAAAATTTACTGTGGAAAATGTCATATGAAATATAAAATCGAAATACTCTAAATACAAAAAATGATCATTTTTTAATTTTCCATCTATTGGAAAAATAATATACAGGGTGTTCTATTGAACATCCTGAATGATTTACGTAACAATTAATAAAAATAGAATGCACATTTCTAGATACCTCTATTTTTAGCCATTTAATAACTTAATGGTTACTTAGATGAAATCAGAATCTTGCACCAAAGTTTGCTATCTACAAAATCGCTTCACAATGTTATCACGTGTCCAGATCAAACCAACAGGAGCTATTTATCATTTATTTGGTACCATAATATGTGATATTTCGCTGGGACAAGGTACTAAGTAACAGGGAAGTAGTTACCTAATCTTCTTAAAAGGATATTATGCAGAAACTTAAAAAAATGTTATTATTTTAAAAAAAAATCATGTTATGTCAAAATAGACATTGGCAACTTACTTAACAGAGTTTTTACATAATAATCCCCATAACATATTAGTTACCTTTAACTAAAAATCAAAAATTTTAAACGAATCATGCAGCACCCTCTATTTTTGTACATACATATTTTAGAAAATATCAACTATGTCAGTAACTAGCCAAAGAATGCTGTCTGGTGTGTTCAATCCAGAATTAATACATTTATTTCAAGATTAACTAACAACGAAGTATCATCCTAAAGAAATATAAGTGTTCGTCCACAACAATAGTTAATAGTTTAAGAGCTAGCAACGTTTTCGAGAAAGCATTTTAAGGCGTCTGGCTCTATGATATATCTTTTACTATGCTCTCTGGAACAGCATGCGGCCCGTCTGGCTGTCGATACCCGTTGCGTTCACTACTGCGCATCGGAAGAAGATCCTATATTTTTTATTAATTTGGTCCTATAAATTCTAGTATTGAATATAAATCGAACACAATTCTGGTAATTAAAAAAATATTTAATACTTTACTATTAGAATATAAACGAAAATAAAATAAAAAAGTCTTTGCCCTGACCCGGATTCGAACTCTGAATCATCGGTTCGTGGTCACAAACTCTACGCACTGCGCTATGGAGACATGTTCGATTTATATTCGATACTAGAATTTAAAGGACTAATAAAAATATAGAATCTTCTTTCGATGCGCAGTAGGGAACGCAACATTTACCAGCAGCCAGACGGGCCGCATGCTGTTCTAGAGAGCCTAGTAAAAGATATATCAAAGAGCTAGACGCAGACGTCTTAAAATACTTGTTTTTCCGACGTTGCCAGCTCTCGTACTATAAGAACGCGGATATAATTATATTGTTGCTGTAATAAAACTTGTGATAGATGAAAATAGAGAAAACATATTTATATTTTTATTGTTATTACATGCGCTTTTTTATTATTATATAAATCCGAGATAGTTTATTTATAAGGGTTCAAAATATTTTGTTAACGTTGTGTATATATTTAAGATGTTTATATTCTATGTTAAACTTCTCTAATTTTTAAAATTAAACTTGTTAATATACGGGGTGATCCGACTTTAAAATGTAAAAAAGTAATTCTAATTAAAAAAAAAAGAATTTGTATTATTTCATAAGATATTATAATTTTCCATAATAGGTTCCAATAAATTCTGACCACCCTGTATATATCTTTTATATACAGCTTAAGAGATAGAAATATACAAAATTCAGAAATGTTGTATAAACTACGTCTAGTTTATGTTTAAAGAAGCTACTTAAAAAGAAGCTAGAGCTACCTTAATGGCAAGTATTTTTTTTGTAAATAAACTTAAAGTATTTATTTTCTTATAGCGGGTGTTTCTCAAAAGTGGCTCATTTCTAGAACTTTTTTATTTTTTCAGATAAAAAAAAACGAGATTTGGTATATTAGTATATGACATAAATTAGGATTGATTGACGTATTCAATTGTTTTTTATAAATGTAACGACAATTTGACTCAAAATACCAAGTGTGTGGTACAAAATTATTCGTAAAAAATGCTTTTTCCAAATGTGCTAATGAGCCACCCTCGTTCCATTTGAAAAAATTGAGATATGATTAAAAACACGATTTGGGCATCTTTTAACTGGCCAGGACAAGACACTAAAAACATTAGACGATCAAATCTATTTTTCCAAGGCTTCTTGATTAAAAATTAGTATTTTTAACACAGTCATGGCACTCTAGATTGAAATGTAAAATGCGATAATCTTTTAAGCGAGAATGTCAAAAGTTGACATATGCATGGGCGCCGGACAGGATCCCTGGATCACTGAAACAATAAAACTAAAAATCTTCTTACATCCATCTGTAAAAAAATAATCATTATTATGAAATTTTTAGGTGTTATCTGTAAAATAATAAAAAATGTGGTAATTATTGGGAAAACTGGAAATCGTCCGATTTTCACCAAAATTGGTATAGACACTATTTTGAGGTCGTAGATTACGAATCTACTTTTTTCTTGGCGGTCTCTTACCGTTTTTCAGAAAAACGGAAAATTATTTCAACATTGAATTTTTCTTTATTTCGGCCCTATAAAGTAATAATTTCACTATATTTTCATTATATTATAGTTTATCTAAAAGCCACACTTGATTGGGGATAGAAAAGTGTCCAACATTTCACTGAAAAACACTTTTCTTAACAAAATAGCAAAGAAAATTGAGACCAGATGGAAGTTTGACATTTGATATATCCTTCTTTCTCTCTCCTATGTAATAAGAGAGACAAATTTATTCTAGACCTAATCTAGAAATTTGAAAATTTACAACGTTGCCATATCTTCTATTTTTTCGGGTGATTACGGAATTTAAATAAATTACCTATTATGAGATCAACAATAATTAAATATACACCAATATCCACAAAATTACGCGGAAAAGTTTTGATTGCATTGGTTTTAACTTCTTTGCGGAGGAGGTTAATCTTTTCTTAGTTAATCTAATAATATAACAACAAAAGATTAACACCCTCTGCATGGAAGTTGTAACCAATGCAATCAAAACTTTTTCGTGCAACTTCGTGGGTATAAATAGTCAGATCTCGTTGGTAAAATAGCAGTTATGGGAAGGAGCCGTTCTTCTGGCGACCGCCTTTCGTAATTCCAGAATGAGCGAAAAAAACACGCTAAATTTAGGTTTAACATTGGCAACGTTGCTTTAAATGCCAGAAAGACATAAACTTACTTCGGGTTTCTCTTATTACCGATTCTGAACCGTCCTAGAACTGTGATGTGTATGCGCAGAAGGAAATATGAAGACATTACTTCATTTGCGCATGCGCTGCAGAGTTCTTGGACGGTTCAGAATCGGTAATAACAAGAACCCGAACAAAGCCATAATCTAACATTTTCAGATTGTTTACAAATTTATTTTAGCAAATTTTCCTCTATTATGCATAGAATTGGTTAAAAAAGTAACAGAAAAGAGCACAAACATTATTGATTATTGAATACCTAACAAAATATGTGCTAGAAAACCTTAAACATATGAGAAATTAAGAAAAATTCGATACTGAAATTATTTTCCGTTTTTCTGAAAAACGGTAAGAGACCGCCAAGAAAAAAGTTCAGATTCGTAATCTACGACTTCAAAATAGGGTGTATACCAATTTTGGTGAAAATCGGACGATTTCCAGTTTTCCCAATAATTACCAAAAATGTCAATTTTTTATTCATTTTTACCTTGCCCCCCCTAAATTTCATTCTTCCGGCGCCCATGGACATATGATATGTCATTGTATTCAGTCATTTTCGATCGAATAAAGTAAAAAATACGGAGGGTGCCATTTACAAATCAAAAGTTGTAGTAATTTCTGGTGAAACAGGAAGTGACCGAAAACAATTGAATACATCACTCAATCTTGATTTAAGTCATATAGTAATGTACCAAATCTCGTTTTATTTATTTGAAAAAATAAAAAAGTTAGAGGGGTGAGCCACTTTTGAGAAACACCCGGTATACAAAAACCTAAATCTGCTTAAAAGTGTACTTACTTATATAAAATATAAGATTAAAAAATTATTATCAATATTTACAGAGTTATTCTATATTATACAGAATTATATTAAAAAATAAATACTTAGTCAATATTAGCTGTGAATTGTGAATATTTCGATGTTGTGATATATTTGTGAGCCTTTCTACTTAAAAAAAGGTTCCGAAGTCAACGAAACAGGGATGCTGATCAGGCATAGAGCTTAAAAAATCAACGATATTCACAGTATATTCATATACATTTCAGAATAATTACTAAAAAAATATCTTAATATTATTTTTTATAAAGTCAAGGCTGTTTTATAAGAAATTTTTGATAAGTGTGGTTTACGATACCTATAAAAACATAAATATAATTAGTCTAATTGTAATTAGGATAGTAAAAAGTAAAACACCATAAGTTAAGAAGGAAAAAAAGGTTTTTTTTTTCTACTACCACGAGAGCTTAGTGTTTTTATTGTACTTAGTTTTCTACGTTAGTTAGCATATTTTTGCAAGATTATATTTTAGAAATTATTACACCATTTTTCTTCTTGTACTATAGTTGATGTATTTCTGTTGTTTATATTTATGAAATATAGTTTATTTAATTGGAGTTTGCAAAATGTAATGTTGCGTTCTTTTTGTTATCCAATAAAAATGTTTTTGAAACAGTGTTTATTTGAAATTGTGACGAATACTGCAATTCGCGTAATATACAGGGTTATAGACCATTCCAGAACACG